GGCTGCTGCATTCTGGACCAGTTGTAGTCGTGCAATGGAGGTCTGACTGATACCAAACAGGAGTGAAATGCAGTAATCAAGCCTAGATGTAATGACTGCATGTATTACTGTCTCCAGGTTCTTTTTGGACAATATGGGCTTCAGTTTAGACAGCCGCCTCAGTTGGAAGAAACATGATTTAACAATCATGTTTACATGATTGTTAAGCTTCAGGGAAGGATCCATTATCACGCCCAGATTAGTGACTCTTTGTTTTTCTGACAGGGTTAGAGCGGAGAGGTCGATACAGTGGTTTGTGATCGTGTCGTTGGGAGGGAACAACATGACTTCAGACTTCTTTTCATTGAAACTCAAGAAATTTAAAGCCATCCAGTCCCTGATGTCAGCCAGGCAGTTGAGCAGCGGTTGAATAGAGCATGTACCATTGTGTCTTAGGGGGAAGTAAATTTGACAGTCATCGGCATAGAAGTGGAAGGGCATGTTGTGTTTCCGGAAAATAGCACCAAGTGGCAGCAGGTATAAAGAGAATAGGAGGGGACCCAGGATGGACCCCTGCGGAAACCCCCATTTAAGCTCTGCCTCTGCGGAACTAAAATCCTTGATGGAGACACAAAAGGATCTGTCAGCGAGGTAAGATCTGAACCAATTGAGGGCTGATCCTGTGACGCCCACCCACTGCTCCAACCTAGCAATGAGGATCTCATGGTCGATGGTGTCAAAGGCGGCTGTGAGGTCCAACAGGACAAGCAGCACAGAATCACCGGTATCTGTGAATCTGAAGATGTCGTTAAAGACCTTCAGCAGGGCAGTTTTAGTGCTGTGGAGAGGTTTAAAGCCAGATTGGAATAGCACTAAGATGGCGTGATCCTCCAAGAAGCACTTCAACTGGGACTCGAATATTTTCTCCAGTAGTTTAGAAACAAATGGGAGTTTGGAGACAGGCCGGTAGTTGGAAACGAGTGAGGGGTCAAGGTTTGGTTTTTTCAGGAGAGGCTGGACAGCAGCATGTTTAAAGGATTTTGGCACCACGCCAGTGGATAAACTACTGTTTACTATGGCAAGAATGGACGGACCTAGAGTTGGAAAAACCTCTGTTGGAAAACTGGCATCCAGGTGGAAGAAGCCAGTTATAATAAGTTGAAATCAGACTATATTCAAACCAATGCTGCTAAAACGGTACCTAAAAGTTTGTTAACATTTTGTATGACATTATTAAATGTTTGGTTCTATTTCTCTTAATAGAAAAAGCCAGTCATAATAAATTGAAATCAGACAATGTTCAGACCAATGCTGCTAAATGGTACCTTAAAGTTTGTTAACAGTTTGCATGACATTAGTAGATGTTTGTTTTTATCCCTTTTTAATAACTTTTTATTAGTTACTCATTGCTGGCAGAATGTGTGAAACAAAGGAAAGCCTGTACTCAACCTCAAGGAGAGGAAAAGCAAGATCAAGGATAAATTATGCGACCCCCTCTGGGCAAGCTAATTAAGAAAAGACATTAAAAACTTTCAAGCTAATTAAGAAAAGACATTAACAACTTTCAAGCTAAT